TTTTCTTTGATATTGAAATCTAAACATGAGATTAATAATAAAGGGACTTTTCGGTACATTTTCGTTCTACACAGATACATTTACAATAATGATATTTTATTCCATTACGATGAGGGTAGCGAAGCACACTGGGTATAGCTAGTGGATAATATTAATATATACATGTATGTATACCATACCATTATAACCTATATTAGTCGGTCATCAGTGGTTTTTTACATACTATAGAAAAAAAAACTATAAAAATCTGAAATTGTAGTTTAATATTTGTAATTTGATATAAATATATTTATTTTAACAAATATGTACTTATTTCAATAAACTAAACGTGATTTATTATTGTTTTGATGAAAATAATTTTCCTTAACAAAATGTCTGTTTGTCATGCAAAAAAAATTGTTAATTTTTATTAAAGGTGTATGAATGTGACGAGGTGTGAATACATACCACCCACAAAAAATTACTTCGGACGCATAAGTTGTTTTATACACTTCACCTTAATAAGAAGGATGAAGGATGTTTTGATAAACATTCATTTTGATAAGGTTGCAACAATTACCTATCTGTTTAAATTAATTTCTTTTAATATTCTGCTTTATTTATGAGTCATCATAAAATGATACACAGAAAAATATTGGCAGATTATTTTCAATTACTCACTACCATGCCGTAATAGGAACGCTTTCTATAAAGCGTTAAAAGGCCCTATTCCAAAGGGTCTTTTAATGATGGCTTAAGTCAACTATGGATCGATCCTCATAAAATTTGGTGGAGAGATATCAGTTTGTATATCTCCTATTTGCATTGAATTTCATCGCTGTACTCGTAGTTTATATGCAGTCATGAGCCGAAAAGTAATTATCTGAAGGGGACTTATATGGGGGTAAGGTTAATTATAGGCCGATACTCATTAAATTTTGTACATAGATATTGTCAGGCATGGGGGGTAATGAATACACCAAGTAATTCATTACATGGTCAATTACAATTACTTATAATGTGTAATTGAGCAATAACCAATTACAATTACTAGTAATTGTAATGGAAATTTTTCCAATTACAATTACTTGTAATGTGTAATTGAGCAATAACCAATTACAATTACTTGTAATTGTAATGGAAATTTTTCCAATTACAATTTCTTGTAATTGTAATTGAAATTTTTAATTATAATTACTTGTAATTGTAATTAAGTTATTACTAATTACAAATTACATGTAATTATAAGGAACAAAATTCACAATTACAAGTAATTATAATTAAAAAATCTTCAGTTACAATTACAAGTAATTGTAATTGGCAAAACTTCAATTACCATTACAAGTAATTGTAATTGTCAAAACTTCAATTACAATTACAAATAATTGTAATTTGCAAAACTTCAATTACAATTAAATGTAATTATAATTAGTAAAGCTCCAATTACAATTACTTCAAATGTAATTGTAATTGAAAATGTAGTCATTATCCAAGTCTGGATATTGTTTTGTATAGAACTTTAAGCCAAATTTCATCACTATACTCGTATTTTAAAAATAAGAATCCTTTTCTGAAGGGAACCTTATATGGGGGCTATGGTGAGCTGAAATTTGACAACTAATGACAATACCATGTGTTCGAATATTCGAAATTAAATTCGAAAATTAAATTATATTGATAAAATTGTTAAGCTGTTAAAATAATCTCTGGGTCATAAAAACTAAAAATAAAATTCTCGAAAATTGGAAGTGAAATTCGATAAAAATTTAAAGCTGTTAAAATAATCTCAAAATTGTGAGTATTCACAAAAATATATTTTAATTATTTTCGAGGCCAACTTCTTACATTTTCTCTAAATTGTGTTCCATATGAGGAATTTTGTCACGACTAGTTCGTCGTGCTATACGAAATTCGTCGTTCGTCCTTCGTCCCGTATTCTGCGTAAACCAATACTTGTATTTATAAAAACAGTTATGACTGTTACTACTGTTTTCCGGGGGAAACTTGCATGAGGGCAATGCGAAAAAAGTGGACCGATATTGCACATTTTCAATAGTAAACAAACCTTAAATATTGGAAATATTTGTGAAAAATTTCAACCCTCTAGCTCTTTCTCTTGGGACCCTATGGTGCTTTCAGCAGACAGACACACGAACGGACCCCAATATTTATAAGGAATGACAAAATCAAACCCCCATCTCTTTTGATGGCGAGTATAAAAATTTGACCTAACATGATATTGTTAAAAATGTGCTAATTTGATATCAAAGCTTTGTCTGATATGTATCAGAAAAAGCAAAATTTTGCAGATATGTCCCTTCGAATTTCGACAAAGAAAATAATAGCATTTATATTAATTTTAGGCTCCAGATGATGAAGTTGAATTAGCTATTAATTTAGCCTTGGAAGCTGGTTATCGCCATATTGATACGGCACCAGTTTATATGAATGAAAAAACTATTGGAAAAGTATTAAAAGAATGGTTGGATTCGGGACGCGTTAAACGTGAAGAACTCTTTATTACAACAAAATTGCCACCACCGGGTAAACATACATTATTCAATTAATACTTTTTGTAAGATTAATTTGATATTATTTTCCATTATTTACAGCCATCATAGCAGATTATGTTGAGCCAACTTTGCGCAAATCTTTAGCTGATTTGCAATTGGATTATATTGATCTATATTTGATACATGTTCCCTTTGGTGTTCTCTTGGAGAATGGTGATTTTAAGCGTGATGAAAATGGTTTGGTTGAAATTGATCCAACTACGGATCATTTAGCAGTATGGAAGGTATTTAGGCAGTAACAAATAATAAACAAAGTGTTAAATTATATTTCTTTTAATAGAAAATGGAACATATTTATGAATTGGGCCTAGCAAAAGCTATTGGTGTATCTAATTTCAATATCAAACAAATTGAAAATGTTTTAGATAATTGTAATATTCGCCCAGCAAATTTGCAGGTATTTGAAATTTAAGGCATTTTTCCGACAGATAAAATAGTTTTAAGATATACTTCCTATTTAGATCGAACATCATATTTATTTGCAACAACCCGAATTGGTTGATTTCTGCAAGAAAGAGGGCATCACTGTTACCGCCTATTCACCACTGGGCTCTAAGGGAATTGCACAATTAAATAAAATGGCTGGTGTTGATCGTAAATTGCCCGATTTAATGGATGTACCCATAGTCAAAGAAATTGCCGAAGCTCATGGCAAGACTCCGGCTCAAGTTCTATTACGTTGGATCATCGATTCGGGTCTATCGGCCATACCGAAAAGCACTAATCCCGAGAGATTGAAACAAAATTTAGATATATTTGATTTCAAATTAACTGAAGATGAAATGGAAAAAATGAAATCATTGGATGCTAATGTTCGTATTTGTGATTTTAAGTTTTTCCCTGGGTAAGTGTTTTTGTAATATATATTAAATTATCATACATTAAATTATAATTTCTATTGCAGAGTTGAAAGACATCCTGAATTTCCCTTCTAAGTATTTGATACATCTGATATTTATTTATTAATTAAATTATACAAACAATTCTAATTAGGGCACGCTTGTTTTACGTTTCACATTTATTCACACTCATGTAGTATTTATTTAAAAAAAAATCTCAATAAAAATGTTGGAAATAATAACAATATAATCGGAAAAAAACATAATAGTTTAAATCACAAACATAGCTTGATAGTTTTTGAATTTGCTAGCGGATCAAAAGGACTACCTCAAATGGGCCAAAAATCTGCAAGATAATGTTTTAATTTTTTATGAAATGTGGCTACAAATTCATTACTTTTTGAACTCGCTACTATAGGTGAAAATAATGTTACGTATTAGAATGATAGGTAGGAAATATCTAAATACTATTGCACGAAAAATGGAACATTAGTAGTTCACTGTTAAATCGGGTAGATTATTTAACATGTACCTAATTTCTCGTCCCATCTGAACTGTAAAACAGTATTTTTATCGGACAGTCTAAAGTATTTGGATGCCATTTTAGGTTCATGGATATACTAGATCCATGGATATACTAGATCTGTTGAAAACATTAGGGCTGTAGGGAGCTTAATACTAGTTTATTTAAGAAGATATTTTTATGAACCTGGATGACATTCATTATTGGTTTTCATTCATATTTTTCATGGTCTATACTTTATAATCACATGGAGCATGTTAGATACTAGATCTGAGCATGGTTGGTAGGTTATCGTGGTAGTTCACTACAGTACAGTCAAAGGGACTCCATTGTGACATGACCACACCAGATCCAACCTGTAGCAGTGAGATGTAGGTCATTAAGTCAGCACAAATTAAGTCTAATCAGATAATTTGAAAAAATAACATGAATATACTGATTTTAATATACCTCAGAGGTGCTGCACCCCCTTCTGGCTAACACAACTGCCTCCTTATTGACATAATAGTCTCTATGTTCTGGGTCCCTGAACTAAATTAATGTCAGACAGAAGGACCAGCCTTGACAGACTATTCTTATATTGTCTGATCAATAGGGATGTGATAGTGTAAGAATATAATGTGATTAGCGCCGACTTGCTATCGACGAGAATTTGTTTTTAATAATATGGACAAGGACAATACCCTCAGAGAAGTCCATTAAAAATGAGCATGTTTTTAGACTAATAGACTAGAGATCTACAGGATCACATGAAAAGATCTGCGAACTAACGGAGAGACTGAATTGATGAATAACTCTAAGCGAAATGGTGCGACATGTTGTAATTACAGTCATAAATTTCAGAACAACAATGTATCCCGGTACCGTAGCATTTCGTCTCAATATTTATTGCAGACATACCATGCCACTGAGATAGGACGAATGAAATATTCTATTTCCTTATACTTCGATCATCTATTTAAATATTAAAATGAGAAGGCAACTAAATAGGTATTTTGTATTCCGTCTGAACGCAGACTTAGAACAATTTAGTTAAATACTTATTTATTCGTGAATTGAAACAAAGAAAATGAAAAGTTTGTTTAATAGAAAAAATTTATTACAAAAAAGAAAAATATAATAAATATGTATATTAAAAATAAAAATAAAGTCTAATCCTTTGGCAGGAATAATGTTAAGTACCAAAAGAAGTACTCTTAATTAATTAGGAGGGAGAAATGTTAAATCGTGTTAGCTTTCGGTTTACACAAAAAGATGAAACCGTTAATGGAAACTTTGCTGATTCCTATATACATATATTTAGATAAAGTTCATCACCGGAACAAAGTAAATTATACCTATACACAGATATGTTATATAAAACACATACAAATATTTATTTAAAACATTGTAAATTAGCAAAATTTTTTCTCAAATGTGGCTGGCAGAAATGTAGTAGTAACTATTTTCAACTCCACTGATTTCGGTGCTGTTATAGAAGATCTTTTATCTTCTGTAAGCTTTAAATTATTCTGAGCTGTTGTGGTTGGTTCAAATGTTTCAATTCCATCAATTACATCCCTGTTTGTGGGAGTTTCTATTTCTTTTGATATCTTTATGTTATCCTTATTCTCAAGGTTTCCATTCATCTTAATATTTGTTTTACTTTTTTCCAAATTATTTTCATCCATTTTATCATTTGCTTTATTATTTACTACATCCCTTTCCCCTGAGGGAGTCTCTAGTTCTTCCGATATCTTTATTTTATCCTTATTATTTTTATTATATTCAAGGTTTCCATTCATCTTAATGTTAGTGTTACATGTTTCCATTTCATGTCCATCTTTGTTATTGTTTACATTATTATTTGTTAAAAGTTCGTTCTTAGTTTGTTGTTTAGAGGATTCTAAGGCTTCGTTAGATTTTTTCGTTGTGGCCATTTCTTTATTTTCTTCCAATTTGCTTACTTTTTGGTTAAGAAATTTTATAGAATTTTTCTTATTATGTTCGTTATTGACACTTTTCATTTGAGTAATTGCATCGACCACCGCTATATTACTATTTAATTTTGAAAAGAAGAAATGTGGTTAGTAGGTAAAAATAAATGTAATTAAATGAATTTGTTAAACACTAGACGCTCAATATGGAGTTAGGGAAAGAGTTTTTAGTTCATGACACAATATCTGGTAAACATAAAGAGAGGCCAGATTCGAATTTAGAAAGTATTTTTTAAGATAGTTCTTCTGTAATAGAACTAACAAACTGGAAAAAAACTCTTTCCCTTTTCTTTACCATTTCTTTGAAAAAAGAATTCTGAAATCTTAAATAACAGATTTTATTATTTGTTATTTTTGTTTTAGTTTTAATTAAGTATAAAATCAAAATATTAATTAAATAACTAGTTAAGCTCTTGTTAACATAAACTTAATAACAATATTTAACATAAATATATTTAAGTTTTTTTTTTCTTTGACGATCTTTTAAGATCACATTATTCGAGGTAGTGTAAATAAAGTAAAAAAAGTGCACATTATTTTATAATTTTTAAGAATAAATATAACAGGCATACATTTTAAATAAATAGATTCATTTATATTTTTTTTGGAATAAATGATCGTCTTGTTTAAAATAGTTAAATATTTTAGTTTATTTGGTTTATATATTCTTTGTTGTTTTTTTCTTTTTTTTTTAATTATAATTGAAATTCGTTCGTTGTAGTAGTTTAATAAAAAAAAAGCTGGACGTTGTTAGAAGTATAGAAAAAAGTTAGTAACATTTGAAAAGTAACTAACAGACATAATTATCAATAGTAAAAATCAAAAGAGGAATGACGACGTGCACTGAAATAAAAAAATACATAAAAAACAAAAGGACGTTACAGAGAAAACATTGAAAGAAAATAAGAATCAAAAGCAAAAAAAAAAAAATAAAATGTGAAAATAAAAATGAAAACTGAAAATTTCAAAATTATAAAAATGAAAAACCAAAATTTGGTAAATTTAAGAAAAAAAAACGAAATTTTGTATTATGTTACGAGTAGAAAAACGAAATGAAATGTTACGTGTTAATTGGAAAAAAATGTTTGTTAGCTTATTGGCTTTTTTGTTGGTTATTTGCATCAATACCAATTGTTTAATCATTTATCTTAGCTACTTAAATGTTAATTGGAATTAAATAGAGCATTTTTTTAATAATGTCTTCTATGCATTAGGATTAAATTATTTTTATGGAATTATTATATGTGTGTGTGTGTTTTTTTTTTTAAGATGCCGTCATCTTTAATGGAAGCAAACTCACGTTGTACGAGTATCTTCATCAGAGCTACGTCTGTAAAAATTTAATGATAATTTTATGATTTTAATTTGAGACATATTTAGCTTTTAGTAAATATATTAATGTTTAAGAAAAATAACAAATAATAATTTGGAAAAAAATTTATGAAAAAGAAGAATAAAGAATTGTTTTTTTATTTAAAGGAAAACTAATGAGGAGTGATTTTTATAAAGATTTGTAAATTTGACTAATAAGTAATTTATGTATATCAAAACGTTAAGTTTAATACGTGACAACAAATCTGTCTGACAATTAAAAAATCTTCATGAATAGAATCATAAAATAATTTTTTATAAAATTAAATTAAATTTCTTTTAGTCCTCAGGCTTTTCATCATTTCCCCTTTATTTGGAAAATAACGACAAAATAAACATTTGTTTTTATTTATATTGTATCAAACTTTAGATGAAGATATTTCAAAGAAGGAACAAGATAGAACAGATGCTAAGAATTTATAATAATGTCGATGGAAAAGACTTTCAGATGACTTAACAACGTCTCGACTTTGGCGAACAACTTTAGACTTAGATATCTAGAAAATCTAATGAAAAAATATAAATTGATTCGGATTCAGCTTAATTCTTTCAAAAAAAAGTATATTTTAGTCCCTGGATTTGGACTTTTCTAAGAATTTTGAGATTATCCATGAAACAATCATAACCTAAAATATTGACTTTTAAACAAAAAGTACAAAAATGTCTGCTAAAAATCGATTTTTCAACAAGAATTGTTTTTATAAAAACTATAAAATATAAATATTTGGGGTTTAAATGGAAAGAGAAACGAGAACTTAAAAAAACAATTTCTTTAAAATAAAAAACAATACTTTACAAATAAAATACGTAAAATATAAAACTTAGCAAAAACTTAAAAAAGTATTTTTAAATAACTACATACCTGGCATCTTCATTAGCACGCATTGCTACAGCTGCTACTTCAAAAATACCAATAAAGAAACACAACATTAATGGGCCAAATATGGCTCCCTGCCAACCGATCCAATACATGCCACCGGCAATTGCCAAACCAGTCAAATAAGGATGACCACCACTGTTGGTTTAAACCAGCAATTAAATGCAATACATACAACACTGTTTAACTTCCAACATACCCCTTCATTTCAGCATATATAGCAGCCTCAAAATAGGGAGGCACAAAGAATTGTAATAAGAATAATACAACGCCGGCATAGAGACGATCTTGTGCAAGCCATATTTCCAATAGAGCCGGTAAAGCACACCAGTAACTACCCAAAAATGGTGCAGCCGATAAAATAGCAGCTAAGGCAGAGGGTAGAAAAACTATGCGAGCACCAAATATAGTATGAACCAACCAGGTAAAAAGACCCGTAAATATAGAACTTTTAAACATGGAAATCAAAACACCAGATATAGAATTTTCCAAAGCTTCGGCAATTTTCGAACCCGATGAAGAAACACCCAAATGTTTGGTTACTTGTAGAGGAGCATATTTTGTTTGACTGCTCGACAGCAAATAGAAAAGGGCCGTAAAGAAAACAATCTAAAGAACGCATAAAAAATAACACAAATATGTTTAGAAACAAGTGTTCTTTACAACTCACCATATCCAATATGAATTCAACACAAGCCTGGCCGCCAGATAACACCAACGATAGTATTTCACCCGTGAATGTCATTATCATCGATAGATTGGTGCGTATTATATGCCATAGAGATTCAGCTACTTCCATTATGGTTTGTGTGTTGCTTTTGGCCCAGCCAATGATACCCTGTTTCGCCACTAAAACTAGCTCTTTAAAATGTCCTTTATTAAAAACACATTGCTTTTTGTTAGCCATGGAAACATGCATGTTAAGCAGACACTTCAATTTGTTTGTTTTTTTTTTTTTTTTCTTTGTACACGGGACTTGGTTTAAATGAATAATGTTTTTTTTTTTTTTTGTTGATTTGATTTTGCAGTGAAATTTTTTAAAATAACTACTATACACTTTTTATAACACACACTCACTTTAGTTACAAATACTTTTGGTTACAAAAACCACTAAAGACTTGGACTTGAAAATCATTTTCTCTAATTTAAGAAATCTACATAAATTCCTATTAGGAAATACATAATCTTTAAAAATATAATTTTAACGCTATTTTTATGGGGACTAGTTTATATCAACTTCTTCTAGTGCCTTCTTCCTAGTGTCGAATTTAGTCTATGTTAAGGTATTTTTAAAATTTCGAACTGTTTTTTGACCTCATAAAAAAACGAATAAATTCGGTCTTAAATAAAACTAAAATTATACATATATTTTATATTTCGAACATAAATTCATATTTTCGAAAAATATTACATTCTCATTTTGAAAAATGTTTCAAAATTTCGAATGTTGGAAATTTCAAAATGTAAGAATTTGTTTCAAATTACACTAAAATTGTATTTTTATGAAACCTCATGATTTAGAGAATATTTTAACAACTTTTCGAATATAAAAAAAAAAAAAAAAATAATAATATTACCAAAACACAACTATACAGATTATTTTAACGGCATTAAACATTTTACGAAAATAAACTAGAAATAAGAGCTACAGGAGCAGATTTATAATTCAGTTAGAAATTTTCATCTAAACTAACACACAATCTAATTAAAAAAATGCAACAAAGAGAAAAAATATTTCGTTTAAAAGTGATCCGCAGCTAATATTAAATTGTACAATTCTACAAATTTTTCTAGACAAAAGACCATAAAATATTAGTTTTATTTCCTCAAATAAGTGCTAAAGTGTCTGATTTTTAGTTAGTAAAATTTAAATGATTCTGTTAATCCCCATGATTTGTGAAAGGTTTTGGTTTTCGAATGAGTTTTATTGTGAATTGTATTTGTATGTATGTATTAATAAATATATCGCAATGTGTAGCAATTTCTTTTAAACATTTAATAGTGTTAATTAAAAATAATAAACATAAAAGTTTTAAACAAAAACCAAAATAATAAATACCAAGACCCTCCCAAAATAAAAAGAAAATAAAACTTTTAACTTACCCGGATTATCGACAATTTCACCAAATGTACTCTTAAGGGCATCGGTGGGCACACGCGGTCCATACGAATCGGATTTATTAAAATCTATCCAATATTGTATTAAACGATCCCAAACATCTAAAATTTGTTCCTTAAGTTTAGTGGCATGTATGGGATCGGCATCGGTAAGCCAATCATCAATATAAGTTTCAATTTTACGACGTCCATAATGATGAGCATTGTCTAGGGCATCATCAATAGAAGATTGCATATTGGCGGGTAAAATATCAATTAATTCTGGACGATCTGTTATGGTTTTATTAATAAGATCCTTGCCCAAATAGGCCACCTCAATGGTTTCCGAATATATGTTGACACAGAAGAAGACACCCAGGAAAACAATAATCAATATCATCAAAATAATCATTAAAATCGAAGTAACCAAATCCACTGAAGATTTAAGAGAGTCACGTACCACCGTATTGATTTTATAATTCAATTCTAAAATGCCGGGAAGACAAAGAGGCAAAACAGCCGAATGATGTTCGATGGCCCAAGACTAAAAAGATAAACCCTTAGAGAACAAATTTGAGGCAAATAAAAATTATATTTTAATACCTTTATCTTTTCGTAAACATCATTAATTTTGGCACTTATAAAATCAGTAAAACCTGTATATTTACCCAAAGTAAACATTAGATGCATAAATATGGGTATGGCCGCCAATATGAACATCCAAACATTGCGATATAGGAATGTTATTATGCAGGCATAGAACAAGAACTTAAAATAGGTGTCACTTAAGTGTTGATGCTCTTCAGTAATATCCTCTTTAACCTCATAGGCTTCCAGTGTTTCCACCGAATCCATAGTTTCACTAAATGATACATCTTCAATATCGGAATGTTGGCTGACGTTCTTAAAATTTAATGCGCTAATAGATTTTTCAAAATCTGTTTTATCTAAAAGCTTCTTCAGTTTTTCCACAATAGAACTTGATTCTTCGGTAGTGCGTAAATGATAAATTATAGATGCACCCACATATAACATAATCATTATAAAAACAGGTACTTGTAGAGCTCCTAAAAAGCTGCAAACATAACTTATTATAGCAATCCATAATGACTGACCAGCAATAATAAAACGATTGCTATTGGAGGGTTTCCAAAAGAAATAGACGGATGTTAAATAGACAGCAACAATAGCGGCTAACTGTAAATATAAAAATATACCTATAAAGTTAAAAAGTATGCATTCATCCTCATATAACACTTACCAAATATATATTCAAAAAGCCAATCATTTGCACAAACAGCGAATGGGAGAAGACGATTATACGCCAAACAGCGCATAGGAATCCTTTAGGAGCATACAATACCAGCAATTTCATGCAAGTAGCAATACCCACACCTGCTGTTATCACTTGCCAGTGTTCCTTTAACCAATCCACCAGAAATCTACCACAGTTTTCAGTCGCTTCTAATGGTGCCAAACTTAAAGCTACTAAAACATTTGAATCACGTTCCTCCAGCCGCTCAAACCAACCATTTAATAATTGCGCTAATTTCCTCTTAAACGGAAATAATACCGCACCCATTAGAAAGGCCCATAGTAGGGGACGTACAAATGGCCCGAGTATAAAACAAACTGCTACAAATGCTGCTATACCAGCAGCAATTAGGAAATTGTACATGGCCGCTTTGAAGCTTTCATGATTCTGTGAACGCATGCGCATTAACTTGTTGAGAACACTATCGAATGAACGATCTCGTCTTATAGAATCGGAACGATTCATTTTAGTGGAATTTTTGGTTTGGAAGTCCAGGGGTTTTTGATAGAATTACTTTGAGTATTTCGTAGTTAAAATATTGTGGTTTACGCTAGGGAGGGGAAGTAGTAAGTTGTAGTACTGAAAAATCAAATAATGAAACATTTAAATTTGCCAAATAATACGATGATCTTTTTATTATTTAATGCCTTCTTATCAGTATCTGAATATTACAAAAAATATTTTATAAACGATTGTATGTACTTTCAACGATAACCCATCATTGAAATAAAGCGAATTAAAGGTTCGAACAAAAATATTAAGATCACAGAACATTAAATCAATCAATAATTACAGATATTATTATCATTTAAGCCTCAGACAAGATGTCGTCTGTATATTTTTGTCTAAACAATATTATTAAATAAACTCAATTTTAATTTAACCATGTGTCTTAATACTAATTAAATCAAGGCACACGCAAAAAAAGAAACCAGTTAAAGCAACATAACCTGGCTAAATGTTAAAAATATTGCTAACTAACATCAAGGCCAACTCATACAAAACAAGCATATAGGAAACATGAATAAGACCCATAGAGTATAAAAAATATTGTATTGTTTTATTATGGAAAATAAATAAATAGCCAACAGCTTGAAAAAGGAAAATATTTAAAATCAATTTTATTTATATCACAAGAATCTACTTATTACATTTGAAAATAGTAGCACTTGGAAATTAAGATAACAATCGTTATTGTTATATGATTAAGTACTCTTCAACCAAAATAGCTAAAAATAGCACCAACCAACCGACCGACCAACGCCTTCATAAAGAAATTCTACAAACATTTTACATTCTTACTAGCTTTTTCTTTCAGCTTATAAATAATAATAAAATTAAATCTATTACTCACCTTTAGGGGGTGGCTGTATTATTTATATATCCATATTAGACATTACAATATTCATAGGCAGGCCTACTTCTAACTAAAGCCACCTCAATATATTCTTACTGCAAGTCCCAAAAATAAGAAAATATAATTTTCTTTCTTGTTGAAAATATAAACAAATGATACTATTTTTATGTTTGTGTGCTTTCCTCCAGAGCTATTTTAGTATTAAACAGATTTTTCTTATTAGAAATTGACTATAATTAAGTATGACGTCACTTTTTCTCCAGCTCTTAATATAGCATGTATATTCAACATTCTTTAAAACATTTTAATTACATATTTAAGCAATAGGCTTTTTTTCCTGCATTAGCTAGTTTTCTTTTATTTTTCACAATTTAGATAACTTTTATTACAATTTATTTATTTATTTTTTTCGAAGAGACCGTACACAATAATTTCCCACCGAAACGTAGGATGTTCTTGTTTAGAAATGGTAATAAAAGAAAAATGCAGAAAAGCTTAGCAAAACAAAATATGAAAAGCTGAAAAACAGTGTTGTATATCTAGCTGAAAATTTGTAGTTGGTAAAAGTAATACTTGGAATGAAACAAACAAAAACATAAATTACATGTACTGTACACAGTAGAACAATGAAATATATTATTAATTATTTCCAGAATTATTTGGTATGTATGTATAAAGTTGACACATTATGGAGAGTATTTTCAAAGCTATTTTGGTATATGTACCACACGAATTATGGGCACATGTTTCACTTTTTTAGCTTTTAGGACACATTGGGTTAATACATCATATAATATTATACATCATTTGATTATATACATTTGAGGTCATTCTACGACCTCTTTCCAATCGAGCAAGCCATTCCCATAATTCTATAACTATAAGAGAGATTTGGAGCGAGCAGTTTAAAGTCGGAAAAGAGTTCCCACAGTAATAAATATATACGTATTTAATATGTACTAAAAACTTTGCAGATGATAACAAAAATATTTGTACCAATATTTTTTTTAGTCTGGCAATATTAGTTAAAAAAATACAGCTCTGTATTACACGGCGAATTCAATATTATTTTGCCTCGAATTTAATAATTATTTAAATTACAAAAGTAGACCAGAGACTTGCGCCGATTCGGCTTAAGCCGACTAAGCCTAGCCACCGAACAAAATGTCAAAGCCGCCGCCGCCGAAAATTTTTCAGCTTAATACGGCTTGAAAATTTCGCCATATTTTGTACAATTTACAGAATACTTTCGCTAAATTTGTGGAATTTTACAATATAAAATTAATTTGTTTTCATTTAAGCAAGTTTTCTTTTATCTAATAATAAGCCGCTCATTGAAATTTGGCCGGTGTAGAACTTTGCTCAACGTTCGATGTACATGCTTCGCCTCAGATATTTTCGTGTTTTCGCGCCTAATTCGAGTCGCTGCTTTGACTTCAAACCAGCTTCGTTGACGTCAACGGAGCTACACCTTTTTACATTACTGGTATGTCATACCGTAAAGGGCTAGGGTATCGAACATGTGTATTTCAAATGGGAAGTGCAGTTGATGTCAATTCTGCCGACTGCGAAAAGAAATTCTGCTAGAATTTTTCGCGCCAAGCTGTTTTCTGCATTTTTTATTTGCCACAAAAAATCAGTTGTTGTGTGTGTGCGAAAATCTACAATAAATACCCAACAAACCAAGCCATAATCAAAATATAACTACATTTTAAAATAAACTTATAATAAAGAATTTTCTACAACATTTCATAAGGATACTTATGATAGGTTTATTTTAATGGAAATTATAAATACTTTTAAAATAATGCTTAAAAAACGCTTCGTATAGCAACAATATTTGCAATAATACTTGCTGTACACTTAGTTAGGATAACAAGTTTTACAAATGTGATTGTAAAAGACTAATGATCGCAATAGTTTTGTAATTGTTTTCCTATAAGATATCCCGTTATTTTATTGCGTGTTTTTCTTATTATTATTCTTCTTCATTTCAGTCTTCTTGTTTAGTTTGGCAAAGGCAGTGTTTTTAAGTGTTTAAGAGTGTAATTTTATAAAATAAAGTAATATAAAATTTGTGTTTAAAAATGGTAATTTAATTAATATATAAAAAATGCCACATAATAAAACAATGTGCTTTTTTATTTTATAGATGCCGCTTTTTCTATAGGATTGAGGGAGGACGAGTTCATAAAAAGTATAAATAAGTCTTTTCCATTTACCAATAATAGACTAATACGTAAAATATATATAGAAAAGTGCAAAATTGTAGAAAGCATAATTGAAAAATATCAGTAAAGTAATGAAAAATAAAAAATATGTATGAAACAAAAAAAAATATTGTTTTAATTGAATTAACAAGCTTATAAAAATGTTACGAAAATAAGCTTACTTCAATCATGTTTCAAAAACTATTTTTCAGTAAGCTTATTTCATAATTGCGATTCTAAGCTTGTTGTAAACTGCAACTAGGAATATTATCACAAGGGTTCAATTTTCTTGATAAAATAATTGTTAACAAGCATTTTACAATAATTATCATAATAGTTTTGCAAACCTAACGCTTATGGTAGTAAGTTTGTTATAAACGAATTTTAAAGCTTTTTGGTTTGTTGGGTAATGACAGAAATGATATTCTTTAAATAAAAAAATAATTTTTTACTAAAAATTGAAATAAATAAGATTGTATGCTATACTACTATACCGAGGGTCATTGTACAAAGAAACAGCAAGTGTTGGGTTGAATTTAGTTAAATTGTTAATAATTATGATGAAATTTTTTTAAGGCGGGGTTTGTTTTCGTTTAATACCCAAAAGTGTTTATCGAAATCTATATTTGGCATATTTGTGAGATCTAGAAGATTAAAAAATGTAAGTAATGGTGTTAATTAATTATTTATTTGTCTATAAAGAACGTCTTTCTTTTCAAGAAAGAGGATGCATCATGATGGTCTCCTGGAAGAATGCCCATATGAATACATAATAACGGGCTCCCAATACGATGTTGCAACTGGTACTTTTTTGACTTAGAACTTAGAAACATGTAATTAAGCACTTGAGAATCTATAAAAGTGGACTTTTTGGTACTTTTTCGTTCTTCAAAAGGTACTTTTTGAGTTTTCTATTTTTCGTTCTTCGACTGGTACTTTTTGAATTTTTTATAATATTGAACCTAGAAACATGAATTTAGGAATGTACAGCCCGGATTAAGTAATAACATATAAAAGGGAACTTTTTGGTACTTTTTCGTTCTTCAAAAGGTATTTTTTGAATTTTCTATAATATTGAACATGGAGTAAGTGAGAACATATAAAACGGGACTTTTTGGTACTTTTCCGTTCTTCAACTTGTAGGTACTATTTGGATTTTCTTTTATAATGAACCTAAAAACATAAAACTAAGCAATCAGGGACTTGAGTGAATGAAAATTTAAACTGGAGTATTTCTGGTAATTTTTCGTTCTTTAACTGGTACTTTTTGAATTTTCTAAAATATTGAATATATAAACATAAAATTAAACACGCAGTATCCTAATTGAACGAAAATTTATCTCGCTTACGTCCACTAAAATAGGAATAGTCTTCCTTTAGAGTTGCGAGTTTTCATACATTCTAATAATGTTTTCAAAGTGAAACTTTTGGAATATTTTTCAATCTCTTTGTGATCCCTTTAAATGATGTTGTTCTGGAAGAACTTTGACATCCATGTAAACATTTTGGGTAATAAACTGGGGGACTACCAATGAGGGGAGCGGAACCTCCCATATGAATTAAATACAAAAATTCGTTTATCTGGGAAACTAATATAACTAAATTCTTCAAATTTTGCACGAACAACTTTAATATTCATCTGAACATTTTGGAGAAAAAAGGGCGGACTTTCATCTGGGGGGCTTGGAGCTCCCATATGAATTAAATAGAAAAATTCGTATATCTGAGAAACTATTAGAGCTATAATCTTCAAATTTTACTGAAGAACATTTAGAGAACAACGGGCGGACTTTCAATGGGGGGCTTGGCACTTCCCATATGAATTAAATACAAAATTTTGTATATCTGGAAACTATTAGATTATTCAAATTTTTCATATATTAAATTAAAATCTTAATTAACGTTCGGAATAATTGGCGAAATTGCAATAATTTGCGTGGAATCTCCCATATGTAACAAATTGTATATCTGGAAAACCATTGTAGTTAGAATCATCAAAATTGTTAAGTAGGCTTCTTATTTATATTGCTTTTAGGGTAGCACAGCACACTGGGTATAGCTAGTAAATAAACAAATAAAATATCTTTGTTTTTACGTTATTGATCATTTTCTTAATGCAAAATTTTTTAGAAACTGATTTTCTGCAAGATGTTTTATATGGAAGATAGGGTTAAATATCGGCAGATCCTAGTAAAACTTGGAGAAAGGATTTGTTTTTAATTTTTAAGAATTTTTTATTCATCCCTGCATAATTTCTCATGCAACTTTTGAGTTTGCTCTGTTTTGTTGTTATAAACAATATATTTGCTTCCAAAATCCTACTTTCTGATCTCTCGGATTCCGTTTTTATTTAAAATCGTTGAAAAATTAAAAACTAAACGTAGTTGAAAACTTAGCCGGCTTACAGTCGATTTTAAGCCGCCGCCGACATATTTAGTGTCAGCAGTGTTGCCATATATTTTTTGAAGAAAACTTTTTATTTTTATGAAAAAAACTTTTTTTCAACAAAAAAACTTTTTTTGTACTAAAATTACAAAATACCCAAGAAAAATTAGTGAAAAAATTAGCAAATTGAGGAATTTTAATTAGCTTAATGATAATTGGTACAGAACTTTTCCTTAACATCAGTAGCAAGGAATTACTGGATATTGTGGTCTTAGACACCATAAATTTACACTTGAAATGTCATGATGAATCTATGTAGATTCTGTGTACTACAAGAGGAAACCTCTGAACTTTTGTAACTACCCGTCATTGGGAACTCGAAACACGAAGATTTTGTCTTACCCAGACCCAGATGATATCTTCAAACACTCACCGATTAATCCATTTATCTTCATGCGCGAATTTGGCCTAGTATGGTGAACCAATGGGCTGCACAAAATCTCTACAATATGGTCGAAGTGCATTGTGTCCTTAACGTCTATTCTAAGGGATTAAGGTCATCAACACCGGTCAATTTTTTTCAGTTTTTAGGAATATCTCGAATATTAATGGTTTAAAATATTATTTTGTTAATGGTTAACATTGTTTTTTATTTTAAACTTATTTGTTGATTAAATAAAATAAAAACTAAAAAACTATAAATTTTCAAAAAACTTTTTTTATTGGAATAAAACTTGAAAATTTTTTTGAATCTCAAAAAACTTGCAAAAAAAGGGAAAACTTGACATATGGTAACACTGAGTGTCAGTCGCCGCCGCCGTTAATATTTGTCGGCGCAGGGCTCTGAAGTAAACAAGCTAACCATGGGTAAATCTTTAAAAATATTTTAATTTTTATAAACATTTAATCTATAAAACAATTTTTAGATGAACAATTACAGCAAATTTTCAAAATACGGCCTTTGCAAACAAATTGCATTGCCTATCGCAGTTCAACGGATGATTATCGCAAAATAATGAAACAAACTTGTGTATCAGAATTAAAGAATCTGGTCAATGTGGACATGAAAATTGAGCAAGTTCAACTAAAAATGCCGGACGAGAATCAGATGCCCAAAATAAGCGAGGAATTAAGAAAATCGAAAGTAGGAAAATTTTATATTTTAATAAAAATGAAATTAATGCTATTTTAAACTTTGCAGGCAGATGAATTATTGAGAGAATGTAGTCTGGTTGAAGAAGGTCTAATGTTGTTATAAAAAACTTCATAGTAATTATATGCATTTTATTTATTAATCGACATTACTTTATTAAGATGTTTATATACTAAACATAAGCAGTCATAAGAAGGTTTAAATACCTAGAAAAAACATGATATTGTACATTAAACTGTCGCAAATTAGGTAGTTCTCACAAACTTACGGTGAATATAGGAATTATTGGTTTGTTAACAAATACTTTGCCTTTAGTTCTTAAAATAAGTAAATAACGAAAATCCAACTGTAATAATTAAATAACAAAATTACTTACTTTTTTAAGGTATATAAATAGAATATTACTTACATCTTCTAAAACTTCATTGATAACTATGTCGTGTATGTTACAGGCAGCCACAAATCTATTTTTCTGGCCCATACATTTTTGTATTTGCAAGTGTAAACCAAAATCATAACAAAAAATAAATTTTTCTAGAAAAATCATTAAATTACTAAAAAATATTTCTCAACATATCAATATATTTACCATACTCCACCAGACGGCTAAGACGCCATAACAATGGTACTAGCCATATTATAAAGATTGTATCAATATAGGCTAAATGATATGATTTTAATACGAAATTTGCGACATATGCTGAGAATGATAGAATGAAATACAAAAATTGCTTCTTTAATGCTGTCCATTGCATTTGATAGTTTGTATTTATTAATTTAACTTCTAAAGCATCAGGCCCATATTCGTAGATTTCAAGTTTTATATTTGTTTCTGTGGAACCTTTATATAAATTTGTTAGACTATGAAATTTGTAGCTTAAAGGTATAACTTCTTGATTAATGTCCATTGTTGCGAACTAGCTGGAGCACTACCCGTTTCTAACTCCTGCTTTCCTTTGTAAATGCAATTTTATAATCAAAAAATATTCTTCCCTTTCTACAGTTAATTTTTTTTACAAACAAATAAAAATACTTTCTGGATAAGAAATTTTCAAATCAATCAGTGCAGCAATTTGGGAATAGTTGACTAAAATCTATAACAAAGATGTCATTAATTGAATAAAGTATAAATTTAATAGAAATGCTCCTCACCGCATACAGTATCTTATTATGTATTGGAAAAAGATACAATTTTATATGTATAATTTTTTTTTAATTCTTTCCTTTATTTTTTTTTTTTGAAACGCCAGCTGATTTATTTATTAAACACAACAAATGTCATTGTAACTTTTGTTTTGTTCTCCATATTCCGTTTTGTTGTTTTCTCTTTTTATATAAAATTCATCGGATTTTTTATTTTGTCTCGTATTTATTTAGTCGTGTGCGCGCTGTTGTTGGAGTAACGCGTCGTTTTTGTATTTTCTTATGTTTTGCTTATTAATTCTCTAATTGCATAATCATAAAAATATAAACAAATTGATGTTGAATTCTATTTATTAACTTAATTAAGAAACGTTTGGTTTATGTTTGTTAATTGGTGCAAATTTTGTGTGTATAGTTAAAGTTAAAAAGAGTGAGTAGACTTGTTTCTTTCATTTTGTGCGAAATGTTCGCTTTTTTAAGTACTACTTCGAGAGCTTTTTTCTATGTATAACTTTGTTTTTGTTTGCTCTCTTTTTTCGTTGCGAATTTTTACGTTTTTTCGATTTTATATTCTTGAGAAGTTTGGGAAGTGTTGAAGGTGGAATATCTACACAATGGAGAATTGTAATAGATTATACAGTTGTATTTTAGGTTTAAATACTATATTATTCCATTCTAAGGAATATTTAAAAATCATATTAAAGTTTTTTTCTTTTATCAGTTTTACATAGTAGAAATGAAAAAAGTTGGATGGGTTTAAAATTTGGAATTGTCTTTTGTTTTTTTTTTCTTGTGACCAATACAATATACGTTCCATTGAAAGTGGATTCAATAAGCATTAATAACCATTTTTCATAAATTTGAATATGAATAAAAATATCAAAATTTTTTGGACTTTGACAGCTCAAACGGGGACAGTTTATAACTTAGATATTTGAAATTTTATATGCTGATGTAGAATTTTATTTATTTTTGTATAAAAAAAAAACTTAATTCAAAAATATTTTTTCCAATTTTGAATCATTTCAATCCAACGTTTATTCGTAAATTTTCGAAAAGAATAATTTAAATATATACCATCAGAAGTTATATTATTATATAGTGGCAACCTTATTAATTCTCTACAAATACCAAAAAACAGAGTCGCATTACTTGTGTAATTAAAATAAAAAAAACATTGCAATGTTATTTATGAAAATTGTTTGATATGTTTGAACAAAAACAAAACTCAAATATTTAAACATTTTAAAAGTTGTACATTAATTGTTTATCTAACAAAAACACATTTTAGTGTATTTGTTTTTATTTATTTTGTCACTTGTGCATTAATAAATAACAACTCTGTTTCTTTTTTGTATATTTTTTCCAATATGGCGGCATCGTAGAATGACGAATGTTTTGTGGCCATTCGTCGTATAGGGCTGTCGGAATCGGTGTGTGTTTTAGAAATACGTAGTTTTATTTGTAAAATTTCCATATAAAAAAGTTATTAAAAATTATAAAACATATAAATAATTAAAGCTTGAAATATGCGTAAGCGTAAATTGAAGAAAGATTGTGAAAATTTTCTCATATAAATACATTAATTTGTCGTCAAAAAATTTAAGGTGCAGACATTAAAGAAAGGAAAAAAAAACTTGGAAAAAGAGCAGCCTAAAGAGTAATTGACAAAAATACAGATTGTAAAGTAGTGAGTGAACGAGTCAGTGACTGAGCGAGTGAGTGAGTGGCAAAGAAGTGGTGTAGTGTATATTATAAAAAAAAGTGGTGCGACCATACAGCTACAATTTAATTATAATTTGTGAATATTTGTACAATAAGAAAATCGTAATTACACTGGAGTTTGAAACAAGTAATTATAATATTTTTGTTAAAAAATAACAGCTACTGTTTAATTAGTAATAGCAATTAAGTAGGAAATTTTGAAGAAGATGAAAAAATAGTGTGGCCTTCGCATTACGTCCCTTTTCGGCTTTTTTCTTGTCTTTTTGTTATTAGAAAAATGAGAGAAAAAAGTGTTGGTGTTATTCTGTCGTCGAATGACTGTCCACATTATTGTGTGTATGTATATATGAAAGTGAGTGCGTTTGTGTGTGAGTAGTGTTTACAGAAAACGACGTCAACGTACGTGTGCCAAAAGACGACTCTGTTTTATTAACTGACTGACGTCTACGCCAACGTCATTAGTAAATTTAATAATTTTCGAACAATTTTTGCAATTACTAAAACTCGATAATAATGTAAAATTTAAAACTTTTAACAACTGGATATACAGAAAGTTAATGTTTACTATTTTAGTTTTAAAGGTTACAACAATTTATAGAGCTTTGTCTGTATCTCATTATCTGCTAACAACATAGATATTAAGTACGTGTGTCATTGTGCTTTTCGAAAGAGTACACACCAACCAATTTGAGTTGGTGTATTTCTACAATGTTGCCAAAAATACCAAGAGAATTTTGGTAATGCATTACCATTAACGTTATTTTTTTGAAATATGAAGTTGGAATTTATTTTGAAAATAATAAGAAGAATGTAATTAATGTAATGTAAATTTTAAAATATTTATTAATACTTTTCTGAGTTGAATTTAATTTTTTTCGTTTTGTTTTTTCCACCTTCTTCTTTAGCCCGCCGCTAAAAGTGGTGAATTTTCTTCTTTTGTTTTTCTTTTATGTATTTGTTGTTGTTTTTTTTTTATTTACGTATTTTTTCTTGTCTGATTTCTACGATTTTTCGTATTTTGTGTGTGTATCCATTATTTTTAATAACTTTTTTTCTCTTTGCTAAATTCTTATTTGGATTTTATTATTTTTTTTATTTTATTATAATATGTATGCGTTTTGCATAATTATAATATCTTAATTATCTTATTCATAATCTGTTTTAATGACGTCTGAGTGTATTTTTTGAATTAAATGAATTTTGAATGAACCATCATGTTATAATTTGTGCATTTTTTGTGTTGTAAAATTTAATTAAAAAAATATATGTTTTCATACTTTATAGGTCATTAAACTTTTAGCTTTAATCTATTTTAACTATGAGGGCTAATAGATATTTATGATTTTGAGAAAATGCAAGAAAATAATGAACTGATCGTCCCACCGAAAAGAAAGCTTGATTCATTTCTCAAAACTTTTGTCTGGGGCTAATATTTGGTGAGCTGGGCCAAAGGATAAAATGTTTCACTTCACACATACATACATATGTATGTACATACATATTATTATTATTATTATTATTATTATTTATTAGTATTATTAATACTTTTAAGTTACAATTTTGGTTACAATTTGATTACATAATCATTAAATTAATTTTAGCTCTATAAAAGTACATTTGTATTATTTTTAACAAAATTTACACATTCTTTCCTAAATATATATTCATTTCTTTCTTTTTTTATATATGTTGGCATGGAGTTATATAGTTTAAGTCCTTTATAGAATAACGATAGCTGCGCAGTTGTGTTATGTGCTGGCCGTAGTCTGAAGTCTTCTGCATTTCTCAGTCTATATGGTTGTATATCACCTACATAATTTAATTGTTCGCATAGATATCCTGGTGCTTTTCCGCTCTTCATTTTTTGTATAAATAGTATTGTATTTAACTCTAGTCTTTGCTTGATATTCATCCAGTTTAGTATATTTAGCATTAGTTGTATTGATGTATATCTGTTACATTTAAGTATTATTCTCATAGCCTTGTTTTGAAATTTTTGTAATCTTTCTAATTGTGTTGTTTTACAGCATGTATATATGATTGTGGAACCGTACTCGAAATGTGGTTTTACTATTGTATTATAAACATTAATTGATGTCATTGTTGATATATTCTTTCTTATTCGTTTGAAAAAACCGATTTTTTTGGCAATTTTTTTACATATATAATCTATGTGATCTTTAAAGCTTAGTTCCTTATCAATTATAAAACCGAGATATTTAATTTGATTTACTTTTTCTATTATATTATTATTTATTGTAAATATTGCACTGTTTGTAATGTTAATTTCCATTATTTTAGTTTTATTTTCATTTAATTTTAGTTTATTCATTTTCAACCAGTTATTGATATTGTTCATATCGTGCTCTAAATTATCTTTACAATTGTTATCATTCTCGTCCTCAGCAAATATTAATGTATCGTCCGCATATAAAATAATTTCACTTTTTTCCAAAACATTTGGCATATCATTTATATATATAATGAATAACAATGCACCCAGGATTGATCCCTGTGGAACACCGTAATCATTTATACTTGAATTAGATTTTATATTGTTAATTTTAGTGTATTGAATTCTATTAGTTAAATACGAATTAAACCATTTTAGTTCATTATTTTGTATTCCGTACATGTACATCTTTTTTAATAATATTTTGCGGTCTATTGTTTCGAATGCTCTCTTAAAGTCCAGAAATATTGCCATTATTTTATTATTTTTCTTTTTATTTTTCCATCTGTTTACTACATAGTTCACTGTAGTTTCACACGAATATTTATTTCGAAATCCCGATTGATATTTAGATAAAATTGAATTTTCCTCTAGATATATTTCGAGTTGTTCTTTTACTACTTTTTCAAGAATTTTTTCACATGTTTTTAATGAGTTTATCGGTCTAAATTCTTCACAATTTCTCGTGTTTTTTACTTTTTCTATTGGTGTTATTATGGTTTCTTTCCAATTTGTTGGAAATTCTCCACTTTCCAGTGATTTATTAATTATATTGACTAAAATGTCACTCACTAAGCTCCAATTGTCTAGAATGATTTTATTTGATATCTTGTTAAAATCTTGTTTTTTATTCATTTTACTTATTATATGTCTTAGTTCTATATTATTTATTGCACGGAATTTAAAATTAGTTATTACTGGTTGTATACTATTTGAATATTGCACATTTTCAATGGAATCTCTTATCTCTCTTATACTATTTATAAAGTATTTGTTAAATTCGTCAGCTATTTGTTTATTTTCCTTATATTCTATTTGATTAAATATCACAGATTTTATCACAGTTTGGTTTTTTCTAAGCACTAAGTTTTTTATTTGGTTCCACATTTGTTTTTGATCTTTCGCATTGGTTATTTTGTTATTTATGTATTTCTTCTTTTCATTTTGTACTTTTGTTTTGTATAAGTTTCTACTCGATATTATATGTAGCATAGATATGACATTTTTATATCATGTGAAAGGTCTTGAGACCGCTTTTTTTAAAAATTTTACATTTTTTAATTATTTACATCGTTTTATTTTGTTATAAACTATACCTATATTTCATTAAATTTCACCAAAACCTTTTTTAATTTTTGGGCCACCCTAATATAGGAAAATGTTTTTTTTTTTTTTTTTTTTGGAATTGAAGGTTTGATATTCCAACTCAATAGAAATACATACTATTGACATCTAATATGGGGATTAGGTCCGAATTACTCAGTATTTGAAGTGATTAATTTTAAGAAATTAGGGGATTCGTTCCGCATTACTGGTAATAGAATTTGTATAAATACAAAATTACTCCTTCAATTAAACGTAATTTAAAACATATTTTTAAATTTTATCTAATAGGTTTTGCACATTTTAACCATTTTATAAAAATATTTATAGGCCATTACAATTCTCAAGTTGTTCAAGTTCCAAAAAAAATTTAAATAAAAAACTTAAGGTCCGACAACAATTAAAAATCCTTTTTTTGGGGGGATTTCCGTTCGATGGTAGGGTGATTTTCTCAAATATGTAGATCTACAAACCGCACTTGGTGACTTGTTGAGCAGTTGATACAAAAGTGCACTTATTGCAAATGTTGCCCTTTAAATGCAGTTATGACAACACATTCTGGCGACATTCCGTACCGGAATGACCCCAGTTACTCGGTCAAGGGCTGTCAACTCCAACAACAACACTGATGATGTGATTCAAACAAAAAAGTGTTTTCTCCAATAACGATAGAGAAAATAATTGTCAAATGAATACAAATAGGAATTTAAGGACATATTTTGCATACAGAGGTATCCAATGATTATTTTTTGGATTAAACAATATGAGGGATATACATGATTCCTTCAGAACTTTACTTAAACGATTTTGTTTTAACTTAAAACATTCTTAATTTAAGATAAAACAAAGTTTATAAATTTTCTTTTAAATTTTTTAAAGCAAAAAAAAAAAACAGCATTTTATTAAAAAATAAGCAGTATTTTAAAATTATAATTCTACTCCTAGGTAATTTTTTTTTTTTATGATACACCACTCAACCATATGAATAATACTAAATGAACGCTTTTGATATACACATTACAAAAGCATAGAACAAAATAAACAGTGGAAAAAACACCTAAAATGCGAAAAAAATGCACACAAAAATAACGTGTTATAAACAATAGAAAATATAGAGTGGGAAATAAAAAGAAATAATAAAAACATACAACACTACTACAAGTTTATACTAGAAAATATAATGTTATGAAAAACCAATAATTCTGGAGACGTAAATAAATCGTACCAAGTAAAGGAATGAAAAACAAAACGTTAACTTTTAGAATAAAGTCCCTGCACAAAATGTCGATGGAACGTTCAAATGTGTATAACCAACCTCAACATGAGGGGCAAACATGCATAAATTTTGAAAAAAGAAAATAAAAAGTAAAAAAAATAATATATACCATAATATGACATGGCTGGTTGTAGTAATGGTATGTGGTGCAATGATGACAGTGATAATGTGCAAAAAAATATATGTACCTTTGGGTTGCCATGATTGTATGGAGAAAAAATAAGGTAATGATGTTCCAAACGAAAATTAAAGCATTGGTCCTGGGCTTAATATTATGTGAGCTGGGTCATAAGAT